AAGTGTGAGTCAGTGCTCCCGTGGTCTGGCCTCGAGGCCAAATTGGGCAACTGCTTAGCCTTCCTTCCCCAGGGACGCTCTTCCGGCCCTGGAGAAATTCCACAGTGGTTTCTGTACCAAGTTGTTTAGGCTACTACCAGAGTCTGGGCCACAGCAAGAGTCAGGGCCACACCTCAACTAAACCTCAAGGTGGTCGAAAGCATCCCAGCCCTGGAGTGACATTCCCCAGGACAGTGTGCTGGGATTTTTTGATCTGGGAAGATTCAGCTAATCTTAAATGAGCAGCTGCTCTGTGCCTGGCACAGATCCAGGGGCTGTGGTTCCAGGCTGGGCTTCAGTACCCAGCCCCCACTGGCACGTGGGCAACACAGAATGTGTGCTGTCCTCCCAAGCACGGCTCTGTCCCTCAGCAGGCCTTTCCATCATCTGCCCAGTGGCTGAGCCCCCAGTGTGGACAGGATCCCTGACCCCTCCTCCCCTGGTCTCCGTCTGGCTGCTCCTCCCTTCCACCTCCCGCAGGCTGGCTGGCCCCACCCAGGGGAGCTGCCTGTCTCTGGCGCTGGCCCGGGGTCCTCCCTCGTTGCAGCCAGCACAGTCTCTGGACTGTCCATCACCGCCTGCAGGATGACAGGTCCCTGGGCAGACACCTGCTGTGCCGTGCGTGCGTGCGCACAGACTTTTGCTGAATGAGTGGAGGGGAAGAGCTGGGGAGGGGCCTCAAGCTCACGCCCGCCTGATGGGGAAGACACCCTGGAGGGTGGGAGGGCCGTGCGAGGACTCAGGGGCCGGGTCACCATCTTCTCATCACCGAGGGGTATCTCTGAGGAAGAGGGAGATAACTTGCTTCCAGAACCAGTAGGTAGCTTCAGTCCTTCAAGAAGACCTGAATGTCAGAGCTGCCCGTGATGGCCGGAGTGGCCACTTGTCACTGGAGGCGTATGAGCACAGGCTGGGACAGCCTGGAATGAGAGCCCCTGGAGCTGTGCCAGGCACAGAGCAGCTGCTCATTTAAGATTTGCTGAATCTGCCCATCAACAGATAAGGACTTAGGACTATTTTGGAAAACGGGGACCAGGATCTCAGCTGGGCCACCCCAGCCACCAGGCCCAGGCTGGGCCAAGCTGGCCATCTGTGCAGACTCCCCTGGTTTCCTTCTGATGGCTGTCCCGGGGTGAGGGGTGAGAGGGGCGTGTGCGACCTAAGGATGAATCACATCTACTCAAGAAGCATGTCTGAGGCAGATATGAGTGGGAGCAGCAGAAACTTCCAGTAAGGGCTGCCCTCCTCCCAGCACGGGCTGCTCTCAAGCTGAGTGATGTGGCTCCCCAGCCCCAAGGTGCTCCTGCTGCTCCCAGCAGAGGCAAGGAAGGCCGGCAAACCCCCACCTCCCTGCACCCCTCCTGTCAGGGTCCCTTCCTGGTGCATCAGGAGGAATTCTGGATTTGAACAAAAAGCCACATCAAACCAGGAGCCCTGCGGAGTGTGCTGCCTAACCCTAACCCCAGCTACTAGGGGAGGGGGAGGCCAAGGCAGGAGGACCAAGTCGACCCTGCCTCAAAAGAACATAAAAAGGGCTGGGTGTAGCTCAGTGGTAAGGTGCCTCTGGGCTCCATGCCCAGGGCTGCAAAAACCAAACTAAACCAAAACAAAACCAGAAAGGCTCTCCGGCCCTCTTACCAGTACCTGGAATTTCCAATTTAGCCTTTACTAGAAGAGTAGCTAAGCCTTAAGAGTGGGGAGTCCAGGAGGGGGTGAGACACACAGGGCCTGGCCATCACCCCAGCAGATTCCTTCTCGACAACGCCCACCATCTACATCTGTGGAGGAAACTGGGGCTGGGATGGGGGGATGTGGTGGGGAGGCTCTAGTAGCCCCAGCACTGGCCGGGAAGACCATGCTCGGGAACTCTAAGCCAAGGAGTTCACAGCAAGGCTTGGCCCCCACCCCACCCTGGGGTGTCCGGAGGAGAAGGACCGAGCTGTGGGGAATCAATTCTGCAGATTTGCAGGGGTCTTTCCAGATTTGCAGGGGTCTTCCCAAGAAACCATCTTGGGAAGAGGGTGGTAGGGGGTGTCACAAGCTACTACTCTTTAGCAGAGGGCATCCTTGCCTCGGGGTGCCAGCGGCAAAATAATCATCTCAAAAAATCAGATGGATCAAAGTGTGAAATATGATATAACAAGAACTATGTAATGTTTTGAACAACCAACAATAAAAATTTAAAAAAAAATCAGATGGAGATGAAAGGAGGATTTAAAACTCAAGGAAATGCAAACTCTGACTTGGGATTTTTCCCCCCTAAGTGAATGTGGACGAAGTTAGGGGCCAGCAGGGGTACTGGGCTGGACAGGCAGCTCCTATCCCACAGACACCCTGATTCCCCCCAGGAAGGACCCAGCAGGGTGAGCCCACGAGGGATGTTCAGCCTCCCCAGCAAGCGGGAAATGCAAATCATGTCAATAAGGGTATGGCGCCTCTTACCAGTCACAAAAGAAGAACTCAGAAGATGAGTGTGATGGGGTGCGGGGAGTTGGCCTGGCTCGCTGTTGGAAGCTATCTACCTTGTACAGCCCACTCCCCACCAGAGGCAATCTGGCGTTTCTCTGCTAATTTAAATGCCTACCTCATCTCCAGGAAAGAATCACATTCCCCCAAAGCATCCATATAGGGCTGTCCATCATGACAACCAACAAGGAAAACACAATGGGCCAGGCGCGGTGGCGCATGCCTGTCATCCCAGCAGCTCGGGAGACTGAGGCAGGAGGATCGCAAGTTCAAAGCCAACCTCAGCAAAAGTAAGCAACTCAGTGAGACCCTCTCTCTAAATAAAATACAAAATAGGGCTGGGGATGTGGCTCAGTGGTTGAGACCCCTGAGTTCCATCTCCAGTACCAAAAAAAAAAAAAAAACCCACTCTTTCTTCAGGGACATAAATAAGAAATCCCCCACTTTGTAGAATACTATGCAGTGTTTTAAGATAAGCAGATCTTAAAATATCCATATGGAAAGCTCTCCAAGACATGGAAGATGTTATAAAAGCCAAATGAAGAGTCATATGAACCAGAGGTTATGGTTTATGGGAAACCCTGTGTATTTGTACAAAAACAATACAAATATGGCCATGCACCTACAGAGGTCTGTAAAGGAAACCAGGTGCAGGGGTGCACACCTGTAACCCCAGCTGCTCAGGAGGCTGAGACAGGAGGATCTCACGTTGAATGCCAGCCTGAGCAATCTAGGAAGACCCTGTTTCAAAATAAAACTTTTAAAAAAGGGCTGGGGATATAGTGTAGCCCAGTGGTAGACAGCTTGCCTAGCTTGTGCAAGAACCCCAGGTTCCGTCTGGCATGATGGTGCATGCCTGTAATCCTGGTGGCTTGGGAGGCTGAGGCAGAAGAAGCATGAGTTCAAATCCAGCCTCAGCAATATAGCAACACCCTAATCAACTCAGTGAGACCTGTCTCTAAATAATATATTTTAAAAGGCTGGGAGTGTGGCTCAGTGGTTAAGCACCCCTGGGTTCAATCCCCAGTACCAAAAAACAAACAAAAAAACCTTCGTACCTTACAAAAACAGTTTTATCTGAAGCATTTACAGTTTTTGCTTTTAGAATATAGTCACAAATCCCATGTGTTATTAAATGTATAGCTTTTACAGTGTTATTGTATTTTTAGACATACATATATTTAGTTAGTTAATTAGTTAGTTAGTTAGTTAGTTAGTTATATGCGGTGCTGATGGTAGAACCCGAGTCCACATGCTAGGCAGGTGCTCCACAACTGACCACAACCCCAGCCCCTATAGTTTTTTTTTTAAAGGGATTTCTCTCTGCAGCACACTAGCTTCAGTCACCAAACACAGCAAAGACTCCCCAGCTCTTGCCTCCCCCCCACTCCTTCCTGCCCTTTGTCTCTCCGAGTCCTATTACTTTCCCCGCCCCCAGAGAGGGCTAGGAGCGCTGGGTGGATTCTCTAGCCGGGTCCCTGCTGTGTGCACAATGGGCTGCCCTCCTCTGCCCTCTTCAGGGCAGGTGGCTCCCATTGCCCGGCTGGAGATGGAAGGGGACACTTGTTCCCTCTCCCTCCTGCCTGTCGCCCACCCTGCCTGAGGCCCTGGTGGATGGGACTCAACTTCCCAGCTCCCACGGCTGTTCCCATAGACAGAGGGAGCTGTCCCCACCAGCAGCCAGGCTCTTCCCTCCTTGTCCCCAGCTTGTATTCAGCCAGGGGCTCTCTCTCTCCTCTGCAGACCCGGCTCTGCAGACCCTGCTGAGGTCTCCCCACCCCTATGCCAGCACCTAGTCTAGGGTTCGATACTGGAAGATGGAAAAACTCCCCCCACCCCCATTTGAAACCTTGGGGCTCTACCACTGCACTACATCCCCAGCCTTTTTAATTTTATTTTATTTTGAGACAGGGTCCCACTGTTGCCTGGGCTGGCCAGGAACTCGTGGTCCTCCGGCCTCACCTGGGATCCTCCTGGTCTGGGGGTCACATGTGTGCCACACTGGGCCAGGCTAACTGCTCAGGTTTTCTAATGCGGTTCCCAAACTCTTTTCTGGGCTTCCCACAACAGAAGCCAGTCCCACGGCTGACCCTTCTCCAGGGACAATGTCCACCATGTGCTCCAGGCCACTCAATGCCCCCAGAGCTGGGGAAGCTAGTCCAGCCTTTGCCTCTCACCCTCTCTGGCCTCTCTCCCTAGACCTCCAGCCAGTGGCAGCCTAGAGACCAGAGCGGCAGCTGGGCAGAGCCACCAACCTCCTGCCGCCAAGGGAGGCCCCACCTGGCCCGACCCTGTGCGCAGTGGGGACAGTTCAATAGAAATAGTTCAATTAGAATTAGAGATCGGCGGGAGGGAGGAGGCGCCCCGCTAGCCTCCCAGCCAACCTGCCACCTGCCGGCCCGCTGGACGGGGACGCTGGACGGGGACGCGGCGGGGAGCGTCCCTGCGCCCCCGCACCACACACCGTCCGGGGCTGTGGACAGCCACCGCCTTACCTGTGGGAAGGCTCCGAGCGTCCCCACGAGCCACAGTCCCAGCGCAGCGTGGAGGGCGAGCATCCCGGGGGCGGGACGCGGGCTGGGCTGCCACCCGCGCCCACCTGGGAAGCGCGGCGCCCACGTGCGGTCCGCCTTCGGGCTCGGGCGGTGCCGGGGCCACCTCGCCGGCACGCAACCGCACGCGGTGAAGTCACTTCAAAAGTGGCTGCCCCTTCTCTGAGGGCTGAGCCCTGATTCTTCCCTCCCCCGACCCAGAAGTGCTTCCAGGAACGCAGCCTCTAGTAGCGAAGAAGCGGGGAGCACGTGCCACCGGAGGGGACACTGGAGACACTCCCCTTCGCTGTTTAAATGGCCCGCCCCGGATTTGACGAGGTGGCGCTAAGGAGCGCGCTGCTGGTCTCAGCAGGGCTTTTGGGTGGGAAAGGTCGCTGGGCCCTGGAGGTGGGACTGGAGATTGGGAGGCCCCAGGGATCCCCAGGGCCCCCAACCCCATCTTAGCCTAAGGAAGGGAAAAGGTGTCCTGACACCATTACTCAGGCCACCTCCCAGGCTCTCTAGATTCTTCAGGAGGGGCAGCTGGAGTCAGGAAACTGCAGAGAAAGCAACCACCATCCACCCTTCCCCACTCACAAAGATTTGCTGTGAAATGAATCAGGGGGTGGATGGATGGTTGGGTGGTTGGGTTGGTGAATAGGTGGGTGCTTAAGCAGGTGGATGGGTGAATGGACTGACTATGGCAGGAATTCATGAACAGAGCATTTGGATACCAATCCGCAGGCATTCCACTGCCGCTGGAGGAGACCACGGGCACTCTCCTCTGAGGGAAAGAGGCAGTGCGCTTTATCCTGATGCATAGAGCTCAGGATCCCTTCCAGCGCTTCCCCTTCCCCTGGCTTCTCTCTTTGCTCCTTTCCTTCAACAGTCAATTCATAGTCGCTTATTGATCATCCACTCAAAAAAAAGGACATGGGCCGCAGGTCGTGGGTGTTTTTGCCTGTGTGTGCATGTGTGTGTGTGTGTGTGTGTGTGTGTGGTGTTTTCAGACATGGAATCCAAGGCTCAGAAACAAGCAAGCAGCCTGTGTGCTGTAAGGATGGGCTTATTGTTCTTCCTGAGCCCAGAATGGCTTGAGGACCCTCAGGCTTCTGCACCTCAGTCTGCTCCTGCAAAGTGTCAGGCCCCCACAGGGAGGGCCCCATAGAGTGGGAACAGTTATCTCCCACCAGAACTTCCCAGCGAGGTGTCCAGAACTGACCACCCCACAGCCCTGTCCCTCTAGAGCTCCTGATTCCACTTGGAAAAACTGATTCCCAATGTGCCCCTTCCCAAGAGCCACTGCTGACACTCTCTTTACTAAGTGATTGTGAAAGTCACCTGTCTGTGATAGCCACAGCACCAGGTAGGGGCAGGAGGAACCCAGGATGGATGCAGGCTTCCCATATATAGATTCCTCCTATAGAAGAGCTCGTGTTCCAAGTAAATAAATGCTTGTTAAACACACAAAGAGAACAAAACAGTAGCAAAACAGCTTACACAAGGAAAGCTACAAATAAAAAGTGGATTACAAGTCATAAAAGTTCAACTTTTCTAGTAATCAAAGACTTGCAGATTAAGGCAACCTCTGATATTCTTTTAGGTCTATTAAATCATCAGTATCAGTAGGGTTTTTTTTATGATTTATAAAAAACAATTTTGGAAAAATCTAACCCCAAGGTTGTGGTGAAACCAGAACACTCATTCATACTCTGCTGATAAATGTTACAACCATTTTCAGAGAACAGTACAGCAATTCTTAGCAATAGCCAACTCCCCCACCACCACCACCACCACCACCAAAAAAAAAAATGTCTACAACTTGTGGCTCAATAATTTCACCACTGAAGAAAAACCAAAGAAATAGTTCAACTGGAAAAAAGAAAACTATTAAAAAAAAAGATTCCTAAGTAATGTTGTTTAGGAATTTTAGAAATACCCTGAATCAGTAATTAAGGAAATCGAGCTTCATCCCTTTGATGGAATATTGCACATCCATGGAAAAAGATGATTCTGGAGATGATGTGAAAAATCCATCTTTCCCTCCTCTTGTTCCTCCCAGGGCTTCCCATCTGAGCCACATCACCCAGGACACCCCCTGCGCAGAAACCTTGCAGAAGTACAGGGCTCACCACCTTGAGAACTGTGCTCTTTATTTGACAATGAAGATAATGGGTGCTGCCAGTGAGGTGGCACACCTGTAATGCCAGCAGCTCGGGAGGCTGAGGCAGGAGGATCACGAGTTCAAAGCCAGCCTCACCAAAAGCGAGGCACTAAGCAACTCAGTGAGACCGTCTCTAAATACAAAATAGGGCTGGGATGTGGCTCAGTGGTTGAGTGCCCCTGAGTTCAATCCCCAGTACCCTCCACCAAAAAAAGATGATGGGTGCTTTGCCTGCCTGCTTTATGCTAAAAGCTTTCAGGCACTGGCTTCTTGAGTCCTCACAGAAACCTCCTGGAGAAGATTCTGCTTTGGGCCTGTTCTGCAGGGGAAGGCCCTCCGTCCAGCAGTGTCCATGCCTCTCCCACTCTCCTGCTAGGGTGGGCCTTGCCTTCTGCCTTTGCCCTCCATGACCCTCTGCTCCCAAGCTCGCACGGGGGACTGCTGCTTATCTTTAGAACCTGTTCCAACTCTGACTCCTCTTTGTGGCTTTCCTGGCACTGTCCCCTCCCCCCCCACCGCCATCTTCCCAGTCAAACGACGGTTTCTGTCAGTTTTTTTTGTATCTCAATTCTAGAACCTATCTCACGGTGTCATAACTGTAATGACTAGTCTGTGTATCCATCAGCCCAGGAAACTGTGGGCTCTTGGAGAACCAAGATGGCCCCAGGCACCCAGACAGGACCTGGCCCTTGACTGTGAGCAGGTGACTGGTCTGCCATAGAGAAAGGCACTCCTGCAGCCAGGGAGCAGGCAGGAATCCAAGGGGGCAGGCAGAAGCCCTGGGCACGTCCATGGCTTTGGGCAGCTCATGACCCTCTCCAGGAGTGAAAGTGCTTTAAAGAGTGGGAGGGGTGGGCGCCATGAGGCACACCTGTAATCCCAGTGATGGGGAAGGCTGAAGCAGGAGGATCCCAAGTTCAAAGCCAGCCTCAGCAAAAGCAAGGTGCTAAGCACCTCAGTGAGACCCTGTCTCTAAATAAAATACAAAATAGGGCTGGGGATGGGGCTCAGTGGTGGAGTGCCCCTGAGTTTAATCCCCGGTACCAAAAAAAAAAAAAAAACCTGGGAGGGGATGTCCACAGGCCCAGCAGGACCCTGTGTGGTGCTGCAGGAGCCCAAGAGCACACTGGCTGTGAAGGCCAAGCTGCCAGCCTGCGGGGGGCCAGGTCTGCAGCACAACATTGTGGCCAACTTCTCCAGGCAGGGGAGAGGAAGGTGAGTGTGCAGGAAGACCTTCCCAGGGGACCAGGAATGTGTCACCAAGGGATGCTGAGCAAGACCCAGGTCCCAACTTGGTTCAGGAAATTCAGGGACCTCCCCAACAGCTGGGAACCCCAGCCCCAAATGGCCCCAAAATACCCTCAACAGATAAAGGGATTCTTTCTGCCGCAGGCAAACGCGGCCAGGTGGAGAGGCTTCTGAAACCTGGGGGCACCTGGACCTTTCTTCTGATGAACCCAGGTGCTTTTCTGAGTGCCTTTCCTGAGCCTTGATGACATAGAGCTTGCCCTTGGGGGGCTTCTCCGGGTCACCCTTGGGCACTGCTGGGTCCCCAGTGGCAGGACTACTACACACACCAGCCTGCCTTCAAATCAGTCCCTGAACTTTGGCTCAGCCCTGGTTTGGGTGTCTCTGAAGGTCTGCAGTGCGGCAACAGGAAAACTAACTGAAGCTTTAAGAGGCGGGGCCTACTGGGAGGTCCTTAAGTCATTGGGGGCGTGCCCTCAGAGGGATCCTGGGACTCCAGTCTCCCTTTGGCTTCTGGCTCCCAGATGTGATATCTCGCTCTCCCACAAGTGCCTACCATTGTCATCTGCCATGAAGTGACACAGTCCAGGCTACAGCCCCCACCAGACCCTGTGCTTACTGTTTGGGCTTTGAGTCCCCTAAGCTGCAAGCTAAATAGACCTCTTTTCTTTGTAGAGTTGGCCTGCCTCCGATATTTCATTATATAATAAGAAGCAGACTAGGATCTCCCCAGAGCTCCTGCTCTCTCAAGGCCCAGGACGCTTTCTGGATCCTAGCGACTCAGCCCTGGCGCCTCGGAGGCTGGTGGTGAGGAGCATCTGATGAAGGCCAGAGATAGGCTGTTAGCAGTTGATGCCCTGGGAGCTAGGAGCAAATGTTCAAGGTTCCCAGCTGCCCACTAATGGACATCCCATTAATGTGGATGGTCCATGTGCTAGTTGATGACCAGAGTCCCCAGTAATGTACACCCACAAGCAGGATTCCCGGGAACCAAGCAGACCAGGCAAACTGTGCTGAGCCTGGTTGGAAACTAAGCACAGGGCTCTGCCTTCCAGAACTGGAAGGCTCTGCCTTCCCTCCTCTCCTGCAGGAGGGCAGACTCTAAGGCCCTTGGACTTGAATTTGGTCGTTCTCCACAGTAACACTGTCACTCAGCATCTGCTGAATACAGGGCCCTTGGTTAAATTTAATCCTGGTACCAAGATTCAGGTCAGTATTAGCAAACCTCCAGTTTATAGGTGGACAAACTGAGGCTCAGAGTCATCGAGTAACTTGTCTGAGGTTACCCAGCTTGAGAGTGGCCAAGTCAGGACTTGGTTCCCACCTTGTCTGACTCTTGAGCCTTGGCCTCCTCCACTTCGGTCTTGGGCCCCTCAGGCCCTTGCTTTCCAGGAGCAAGAGCCCTGGGCGGGGGTCCTGGAGAGCCCAGTCATTCCGCGCTCTGAGTGCATTATGTATCCACTGCTGTGTTCCTCAAAACTTATTGGCTTAAAACGAGTATAAGCCAGGTGAGGTGAAGCACTTCTGCCATCTCAGCAACCCAGGAGGCTGAGGCAGGCAGGAGGATCACAAGTTCAAGGCCAACCTGGGCAACTCAGGGAGACTCTGTCTCAAAATGAAAAATAAACAG